CGTTACACCCTAGATGCATTGTTGCATCTACTACCCAAAATTTACAGAAAGTAGAAAGCAATGACATTTTAATGTTCCATTTCCATTTAGTCCATTACGTACCAAGTTAGCCTACATCCAATTAGTTTTGATCAAAACTAATTGAGATTTTCATTAAAACTCCATGCCATAAATTAGGAACATTTGAGATCAGAAAACACATTACACAAGAGACATGAGATGGGATATTGATTTGCAAATTGCATGAGATGGGAAGCAGTTACACAAGAGACATAAAAGGAGAAATTGTAAAGTTTCCGTACACAGAGTGACATTGCAAGGAATTGGGCGAAATTAACTACAATTGCGGGAATGAAGTTCAATGGACACAAAAATAAAACCTAGATGTCTGATTTTTTTAAATAGTAATTGTAGATGTTAATGTCTCTCTTTTTGATAATGTTACCTACAATAAGCAGGAATGAAGGCCACTCTCTCAAGCTGAAGAAGATGGCTAAACCTAGAAATTGAAGTAGTGTTTGAAATTACTTTCGATCGACACTCATTTTATAAATTGAAGAATAAATTCCAGACGCGGTCGTAGAATGACGACGAAGATCGATTTTACATACCTCTACAGTGAATTTGAGATGAGCTGGGAAATGAAGAAAATGCGTCGTACCAAAATGAGGGTCGCTGGATCGAGGACGAAGATAGATTTGGCAAATTCAGAGTAGCTAAGATTATTCACGTAGGTAGTTTTGAGAAATACTCCCCCGGGAAATAATCTTCTATGGAGTACTTTCTTGTCCCCCAAATAATCTTCTCATTACCTTTTTTTAGTATGACTAAATATCAATAATACCCTTCTATTTGATCACAAATCTACTTTTTTAATATTTTTTTTAATAATAAAAGGATATTTAAAAGTTTATAGTATTTACATTTTTGAAAATTTTGCATTTTTTTACTATTCCTTAATAAGCGTGCCAAGTTAACACGGGAAAAATATTTCCGGACGGAGGGAGTACTTGAATAGGTGGAGTGAAGGGTTACATCTGCCATAATGGCTCCCTTAATAGAAGGGGATAAATGAAAAAGAAATATATTGAGAAAAGAAATTTTTCTTGCTAGCCCATTTGGCTAGATTATGTGCTCCCATATTTCCTTCTCTGTAAATCAGACGCAAATTGTTTCCATCTTCTTGGATTGCTCGTTAAACAGCTGTCCA